CAAAAGATAACTTTAAATTAATGTTTTTCACAGTGAAATAAGTATGAACACTTATATATATATGTATCGATACCTATATATAATCAAAGTTTACCGGTTATCAAATTTTTTAATAGTTTTTGATGTTTTCTACCTACAACATTATGAGTCTGCCAACATAATAGGTAGCGCTTTACCGAATTTATTAATTATCTTATTAAATTTTCAATCACGTTATTTTTTAGCCATATATCTGTCTTTCTTGAGATAACCCCGGTTTCTGCTGTTCTGTTGAGCATACTAATTCAAGGGGAGGCTGGTTAATCATTGCTTTGTTTAACCAAATTGGGGAGGCAAAACACATGTTTTGCTTCAAATTTTATGATTAATAACTGATCCAATTCTGTCAATGATTCATGTATTCCCCTTAGTCGTACACGTGTGAATAATATTTATTTATATAAAATTTAAATATTCATGATTTAGGGAATTACTATTAAATAATTATAGATTTAGATTTGTAATAAAAATTTAAAATTTTATAAAATAAAAGAACTAAAAATGATTACATTTAGATGCATAAACTAAATTTATAATCTATACACAATATAGGAGTGAATAGGTGAGATACGATGGTCGTTTGAGATTATAAAATTATATTTTATTATTTTTTAGTCAACAAGTTAACTTTTAATTTTATATGCCGTCAATTTTTTAACGAAAAAGGAAGATTTTGAAACACAATGAATAGTTAGCTGACAATTTTATAACTTTTAATAGTCGAAGGATTTAATAAAACAATACTCTATAGTCGATGAATCATCTTATAATTTTAATAATCGAGAGACTCAATAAAGTAAAATCTTATAATCGGTGATTATTTGTGTAATTTACCCAAAAAGAAAGGCCAACGAAATCTGGTCTTAATTCTAGTTATAAGAAATACCAGCTAGGGTTTTTAGTCACTCTGTGGGAGTGAGGACAACCGCATCCAGAAAGCAACCGTAGCAGCCGCAGGTGATTCACTTTATGTATTAATTAATTTTCCATAGAAAATGGTGGTAGTAAAAGATAAATAATCTGTCTCCCGCCTCTATCTCTCTCTTTGTATTTGCTCTGTAAATCATTATAAATTCTTTATTGGGTTGTAGGTAATGAACACTTTCTGTTTGCGTCTTTTATTCTTTGTTAATTCTATAGATCTATAGGAAGAGCATTGCTTTGTTTTTAGATTTTTAATATTTTTGTTTTTGTATTGTTTATATTATGGGGTGAAGAAGCGGAAGAATGTCTCACAGGAAATTTGAGCACCCAAGGCATGGTTCCCTTGGATTTCTTCCTAGGAAGCGAGCTTCTCGTCACAGAGGAAAAGGTATTCCCTTCCATTTTTTTTTTTATTAACAATAATGGCATGTTGATGATGTAGCTGTAGAAATTCTAGTATTGCAACTGATTTGTAGCTACTGTGTTTTATCTGATGTTGTTTTGTGTTGGTGCAGTGAAGGCATTCCCAAAGGATGACCCTAGCAAACCTTCTCACTGCCTTTTGGGGTACAAGGCTGGTATGAGTCACATTGTCAGAGAGGTTGAAAAGCCCGGATCTAGTAAGTTGGTTTTCATCAACTACTCCCCCAATTATTCTTATTGTTTGCTTGTGATGCAGTTATCTTTTTTCCGAGCTATGTAAACATTCACCTGAAAATGCATTGAGCTTCTTTGATTGAGTTACATTTGTGTATCGGTTTATGCATCTTTTAATTTAAAATTGAATTTTACTTCATGTGATATTCTTTATTTCTTTATAGAGCTTCACAAGGAGACATGTGAAGCTGTTACAATCATTGAAACCCCTCCTATGGTGATTGTTGGGGTTGTTGGATATGTGAAGACACCTCGTGATCTCCGCTCATTAAACACCGTCTGTGTAATATCCCAAATTTTGTTTAGTAAAAAAATGTAAGTTTTGAAAAATTTAGTAACTAAAATGAAATTTTGAAAAATTGAAGGGTCAAAAAGAAAAAATGAGAGATGAGAATTTTACAGCTAATTTAATAATATTAAAATAGAGATGGAGTGACATGGAGGTAATTATGAGAATTTATTAAGGGTAATTTGAGTTTTTGATCCAAAATGAATATAAAATTCATTTTTTTAATTATATATTAAAGAAGGAGAGAGATTTTTCTCAAGAAATCTCACAAACTCTCTCTCCATCTTCAGCTACTGCCAAGCCTATACAACAAGGTAAGATTTTTATTTTTGATTTTTGAAGCTATTTTCTTGAAAATTAGACTTCGGTGTAGTTAGGAAAAATGTTCTACATTCAATTCGCTACGTTTGACATGGATATCACTAGGGTTTATGTTCAAGTTCATCTTGAGTTGATGAAGGAAATGTTGATTTCTTGTGTTTTGGGGTTATGAAGAGTTAAGTGATTTTAAAAAATTGGTTGTAAGAATTGATGAATAACCTAAGGATGAAGTTAATGAAAACAGTTTAGATTTTGAATCAGGTAGTGAGTTTGAAAATTCACCAGAAATTCTATAAAAATTATTTGGAGGTGATTTTTATATATTGTGTTCGTATATCAATCTAGTTAACATCAACTTGAAAACATTTACTGAACTGAAATTTCTCTAAAAATTTGTTTCCTTTGAAAACACTTTATTCTAACTTTAGAAATCTATTTTAAAGTATATCTCAACTTATAATTTATTTCTTTGTTATATGAAAATAAAATTATTTGTTAATCAGTAATTTTACTAAACTATGTCTTTTCGTAAAATCTTTTAAAACATAATAATGCAAAAAATTATTGTCATGCATAGATACCGATAAAACTAAACTAAATGGTGTTGATTAAGTCGGTCATTTTCTCCTTAACAATATACTTCATGTCGATTTTTAGATTACCGAGGTGTGTACTGAAGTGGCTTAGCTCAATTATGGCAAATTTTCTATGGGGAAAATTGAGTATTAAAAATAAATTCATTGGGTTAATTGGAGATTGCCTGCAAGCCTAAGGCGTTGGAAGGGATCGGGGTTCCAAATCTTGAGCTTATGAATAGAGCTTTATTAGGAAAGTGGACCTGGAAGTTTGCCAACGAGAAAAACTCCTGGTGAAAAAGGATAATTTGTTGCAAAAAATAATATTAATCCAAATACTATGGAGGTGGATAGTTCGACCTCGTACAAAGCTTCTTGGATATGGAAAGGGGTTGTGAAGAATTGTTGTTTCGATGACGAGTTTGGGGAATGTTTACGAAGTAACTTTGTTGTTGAAGGCGGGCAATGGGGACTCAATAAGATTCTGGCATGACGCTTAACTGCATGGAGTTTCATTGAGGGTACGTTTTCCTCGCTTGTTTGCATTATCAATCGATAAGGAGGGGAAAATCGCCGATTTCAGGAAAATTAATTCGTCAGGTTGTTTTTGGGATATTGTCATGAGAAGAAATCTTGTCAATTAGGAGTTGATGCAATGGAATTAGCTTATGACATTGTTGTATAATTTAAATCTTTCGTCATCGATGGATTATAGTCTTGTATGGGTGGGAGAAAGAGATGGGAGGTTTTCAGTGAAATCTTGTCTTGAAATTTTTCTTGGAACCTCGTTCGATAGTTTTCCTTGGGAAAGAAATGTCTGGGTCGGTGTAGCTCCTCCTAGGGTTGAATATTTTATTTGGCAAGTGGTGCACAAGAAGGTTGCAGTCAAGGTAGAGCTAATAAAACGTGGGGAGCAGGGTATAGGAGATCCTTATTGTCTGTTATGTGGGTTGGTTCAAGAAACGGTTTCTCATCTATTCTTTTCTTGCAAAGTGTTTTGGGGGTTATGGGCTAGCTTTTTGCGCTGGGGGGAGGTTTCCTTTGTAATTCTGGAGTGCCCTGTAGCCTTATTTTCAGTTTGGTTTTATCTTGTGCCACTCTCATGCGTTTGGACCATCATCCCAGGAGCGGTTTTGTGGTCAATTTAGAAAATGATGAATGATATTATTTTTAATAATGGGAAATTAGATTGCACTTTATTATCTTTTCTATCAAGGTACAGAGTGACATCATGGTTTTCTTCAAAATTCCCTAAATTGATGGTCTCTTTTGATAGTCTTGTGGGGGATCTAGTGCTAGCTAATCGACTTATGTTCGATGAAAAAATATCACAAAAGCTAGTCAGTTGGTCTCCTCCACCTACTGATTTTGTTAAAGTGAATGTAAACGGTGCTATGGACAGGTGGTGGTCGAAGGGAGGAATTGGTGGGCTTATCAGAGATGAGAAATGAGTTATGTTGGGTTCGTTCTCAAAAAAAGTGGGATCTGGTCCTTCTATTATGGCAGAATTGATGGCAGCGAGGAGATGTTTGAATCTATTCCTGGATTCGGATTTGTTAGTGAATCGAAGGCTAATTTTGGAGTCCAATAGTGTGGTGGCAGTGGAGTGGATAAAAAATCCATCTAGCTCCACTCAAATGTTTCTATCTATTGTTAAAAATATTGCAGATATTGTGGTCAATAAAGGGGTCATTGTCTGTCATGTGACAAGAGTAGCTAATTGTGAAGCGGATGAATTTGCCAAACAAGGGATTGGTTAAATGATGGGGATTTAATTGGGTTGTTGTTTTTCTATTATAGGTAAATCGGGAACATTAGGGATTGATATTTGTTTGTAATTGTTTGATTAACCTACGAGGTAGTTTTGTTGTAAGGTATAAACATATTCATGTAGGTAGTATTGTTTTGCACTGTGTTGAGTGGGCTGCCATCGTTTTTGGGTGGTAGTCTGATCTTATTGTACTTGGTTCTTATGCAATAAAATACCTAAGGCACTCTTTTCCTCCTTCCAATGTCCGTTGAGTCTTTGTTGCTTGACGGTTATGAAGGGGTTTTTAACGAGGCCTTCCTTTTTATCAAAAAAAAAAAAAATTATACATGCCACTATAATTTAAAAGAAACATCATAGATGTCTTACTGATACTGATGATACATATGTTTTTCCAAAAAGAGATGCTTCGATAGCTTCTTACTAATCGTACTTATCCTTATTAGAACCTACGCATGAAAATTATCACGCGCTAAGTATAACTTAGTGATGCAGTAATAATCTAAGGTGAGAAAATTCTAAAAATATCATAAATCATTAAATGGCAAACCAACTTATCCAAGTCGATTTCTTCACTGAGACCTGAAATTTTGTTTTAAATCATGAACTCATGAAAATTTTGATAAATCATATCTGATAAAATAAGCATACCATGCTTTCTGTCAACTGGAAATCTTTCACAACTTGCATATTCATTTTCATAGCTCAATGCATATTTATGAGAACATAAGATACGTGAGTAAGTTGCGCACTATGCACAATACGGTGCAAATCGTAACTGATACTGAGATATGATGCACTTCAGTGCCATCATAACCTGAATAAGGACCAACAGTGTTGGGCATTGATACACGAATGTACCAAAGCTGATATGATAACATTGATACACGATTGTATCAAAGCTGATAATAGATAAATACTCAACTAATGGCATGCCAAGTGTACTAACAATTATCACTATAGCACAATGGGCTGATGTATCATAATAAATCTATCATAAAAATATCGTGTTTGGTAGTTCATACTCTAAATCATTCATAAAACTGATATAGAATATTATAAAAATATTCTTTATAAACTTTATAAATCATACTGTAAATTGGAATAAGGTTGACTTATCGTAAGTCGTCATCGATCAAAATAATTAAATAAATAACTACATTCACCTTTGCCTCACTACAGAACTTGTATATAATAATCCTAGTCACGAGCTTTTTCATTTCCTTTCGAATCGTTCGGATTGCTAAATTTAACATAGTCTGACAATACCAAATTATAACGCAAAAATTGTTCGAACTACATATTAGTATCGTACTAATATAAGCTCATTTTAACATTTAAAAATCTATAAAATAAAATCGATAACTAAATCGATATCAACCAAACTCATAACTCCGTTATAACTTCAAACTTATCGAAACACTTATGCAATTCCATAAATAATTATTCCCAACATGATTCTTCAACTTTAACCAATTATAAAATTAAACCACATGTTTTAAATTCTTTTTAGAATTCAACTCAACTTTTCCTTTAATTCATAATGGCCCTTCACCATTATGATAATTGTACATTAATTACTAAAATTCCAGCACTTGAATAAAATACCCAAATAATACTTCTTCATTTAAGAACTTGCAAACAAGTCCCCAAAGTTTTGGAACTTTTCGAATTCTACCATCTAACCATTAAAATGAATTCTTTTAGAATTCTTCTCAACTTTCCAATTTATTCAAAATGGTCTCTTACCATTTAACTTCAATTCCAAGCATCCAAAAATATACTCAACGTTTAAACATTACTCTTCATCTTCTAGTCCATTTTAGCTTAAATTCTAAAATTTCCATATTCAGACAACTTGCACTACCTTTAAAGAATCAATATTCTGTATTGATATACACACTGGAATTTAATTTCGTTTCTTCCGTTGAAAACTATACTCGAACACGAATCTATCCACATAAAGAACTCCTGCTAATTCATTCTGTACAATTTATGGTGAATTTTCAAAGTTGACCGACATAATCTGTTTTGTGCAGAATCTGCTGTCCGTTTTTCTGACCTTTCCTCAGTTAAAATTCATATCTTTTTTTATACACATTAAAATTGATACCCGTTTTTTAAACAAAACTATATTGATATACGAACACAATATATAAAAATCACCTCCAAATAATTTTTATAGAATTTCTGCGAATTTTCAAACTCACTACCAGATTCAAAATTTAAATTGTTTTCATTAACTTCATCCTTAGGTTCTTCATCAATTCTTACAATCAATTCTTTAAAATCACTTAACTCTTCATAACCTCTAAAAGACAAGAAATCAATATTCCCTTCATCAACTCAAGTTGAATTTGAACATAAACCCTAGTGATATTCATGTTAAAACGTAGTGAATTGAACGTAGAATATTTTTCCTAACTACATCGAAGTCTAATTCTCAAGAAAATAGCTTCAAAAATAAAAAATAAAAATCTTACCTTGTTGTGTAGACTTGGCAGTAGCTGAAGATGGAGAGAGAGTTCATGAGATTTCTTGAGAAAAATCTCTCCCTTCTTTAATATATAATTTAAAAAAAATTTTATATTCATTTTGGGCCAAAAACCCAAATTACCCTTAATAAATTCCCATAATTACCTCCATGTCACTCATTCATCTCTATTTTAATATTATTAAAATAACTGTAAAATTCTAATCTCTCAAAAAATTTTAACCCTTCACTTTTCTAAATTTTCATTTTAGTCATTAAATTTTTCAAAACTTGCATTTTAGTCACTAAACAAATTTGGGTATTACAGTCTGGCCTCAGCATCTGAGCGAGGAAGTCAAACGTCGGTTCTACAAGCACTGGTGCAAGTCCAAGAAGAAGGCTTTTGTCAAGTACTCAAAGCAGTATGAAAGGGAAGAAGAGCGTTCAGGCTCAGTTGGAAAAAATGAAGAAATATGCAACTGTTATCAGGGTCTTGGCCCACATGCAGGTTATAACAATATTCGACTTAATCTTGTTTTCTTATTTTGCACTCTTTAAGTTTTTGTTTCTTGTGTATGTTTTCAGATTGTAATTCTTTATTAAAACCTGTTTCAAGGTGGGCAGAATTTTCTGACCAAGTACATTACAGATAAGGAAAATGAAGGGATTGAAGCAGAAGAAGGCACACCTTATGGAGATCCAAGTCAATGGTGGAACAATTGCTGACAAGGTTGATTTTGCTTACAAGTTCTTCGAGAAGCAAGTCCCCATTGATGCTGTTTTCCAGAAGGATGAAATAATTGATATCATTGGTGTCACAAAGGGTAAAGGTTATGAAGGTGTTGTCACTCGTTGGGGTGTTACACGTCTGCCCCGTAAGACCCACAGAGGTCTGCGTAAGGTTTCTTGTATTGGTGCCTGGCATCCTGCTAGGGTCTCCTTTACTCTTGCCAGGGCAGGTCAGAACGGATACCACCATCGTACTGAGATGAACAAGGTCTACAGAGTTGGCAAGGTTGGTGATGAGACCCGCTCTGCCATAACCGATTACGACAGGTTAGTCCATTTGTCTGTTTAACTCTGATTATACCCGAGTTATACCTCCAGCAGATTGGAGTGGTTTTGAAGGTCCTGTATAGAGTTCTACAATGTTTTGTGTTTGATTTTTGCTTAATATCATTGATGAATGTGTGGCCTTTTGTTCAGGACCGGGAAAGATGTTTCCCCTATGGGTGGCTTCCCTCATTATGGTGTTGTGAAGAGTGACTACCTGATGATCAAAGGAGGATGTGTCGGACCTAAGAAGAGGGTGGTTACACTTCGCCAGTCTTTTATTAACCAGACATCTCGTGTGGCTCTGGAAGAAATCAAACTCAAGTTCATCGGCACCTCCTCAAAGTTTGGGCACGGACGTTTCCAAACAACACATGAAAAACAGAAATTCTATGGTCGAGTTAAGGCATAAGTTTTCAAACTGGTCAGGAATTTTGGGCTATCATATGTGTACGTTCTGTTTTACCCCAAGCTTAGTTTATCTTATTCTCTTCCTTTATGAAATGAAACAGCTGCGTGTTGTTTTTGTTTTGTCAATCCGGATTGGAACTATGAACTGCTGAGGATTTTCAACAGATTTTGCACTATATATTGGTCTTTTAAACCAACACCCAAATCCGAGGAATGCACCTTTTTTATGTTTTATTTGCCTTTATTATTTGCTATGGTTGCAAGTTGATCATATTCACGGAGTTTGATCTTAGGATGGAAAAACAGTGGATCGTGTTGATTTAGTCTTTGAAGCTGGAAGTCGTGTTCCTTTGAAACTGTAGCATTCCTCACATTTTATTAGTTATCAATTGGCTTCAACAAGTTTATCCCCAGTGTGAGCTGATGTCGTATCGGTATCAGACACAAACATGCCACCGGCTACAATCTATTTTGGATCCCATAGGGATAGGAAAAGAGTGGACAAGTTTAGGACACGGTCAATGAAATGATCGAATGGCAAGTGGTAACTGAGAAAATGAAAGCGGCCAAGAAGAAAAATGCCCTAATTAAATTATATACTATCTTGACTATTATTTGAGTTGGATTAAAAAATAAAATAAAAGTTATTGCTTGAAATAGTGTACTGAAGAATTTTTGAGTTATATACACATCATATAAATTCCTATATTTTTATCCTGTCGTGTTTTTTAAAAATATAATATCAAGATGTTGTGTGGAATTTTAACCGTATTTCATGTCCGTGTCTGGCTTCAACGACGTGAGTCCCTTGATATATTCAAGTGAGTTAGGATATGGTTGATTTATTGTTCCCACCACTTGATTTAGGCTTTGTCAATTGTCTGCTTTTTCAAGCACTGTTGCAGATGAGTTTGACCTTCATCTGTTTCAAGTTCAAAATTTTGACTGAATCTACTGGATTCATAAACCAAAAGCCCTCATATTTGAAAATCCATCAACATGTACTAGGTTTTATTTCCACAAGTCAACTACAAAGAATAGTCCTAAGTTGAACTTTGGAGTCTGTTTAGCCTTTAGGTATCATCGTCTTGAAATGGTTTGAAAATTTCCCTTGTACCAGTTGCAACTTGTATTCATGGAGGCTGCCTTAGTATCTTCCTTTCACTTTTTTGTTTTCCTATATTTGGTTTGATTTTTTGCAGTGAACCATGTTTATGCTTATCCTAATGATTGAACATGTATATCCCGCCCGTGGACAGATATGGCTCTTCATATTTGTGTGCGGAGAATATTTTGATAGCGACAGCATCTGTCAGCAGATCATTGACAATGCGTCTCTGACAACAGCAGCAGCCGTATGATACTTCACATAAAGTAATCGAGTTTGATGTGAATATGACCCTATAACGCATCAATTGGCACATATCAATTTGCTAAACTCTCCAAGTTCGAGTTACATTATCTTAATTTGCAAGTTGCAGAAAAGACTTTTGGTTCAGCTAATGATCTGGGAGTTTGTCACATCTGTCACAGTAATGTAGGACCTTGCAATCTGCCATTTGTGTTGTTATTTGTTCTCGATCGCCATCATTTTTCTAGTGTAAAATGGAATAGAAACTACCATCCCTCTTTTTCACTCCTAGTAAGATTCGTTTGTCCAAGTGCAATGCATCCAGGACAAAACACGAAATAAAATGGTCGACTGTCTGGTTAGAGCACATGTTACTCGTTTCTCTACTTTCGGGGACCCTGCAACAATTTCGGCGTTACGTGGCAAGCTATCGGCACGGACAGCCCCAAAGATGAGGACAGAGCTTTGAAGAGAAAAAAGAGAGACTAAAAATGGTTTAATTACAAGTCATTTTCATTCAGGATAATCAAGTATCTCACCATATCTTGCCAATTATCTTGATTTCGTTCGTTTCTTCGTCCGGGCGTAAATACAACGTTTAAACCAACGTGTGCGTGCTTGCTTGCGCTTAAGTATTAACATTGCAAGGAAAATAAAAGGCGAAATAAGATGTCACCCCCCGTAGTTATTTTTTTTTTCTAAACAGTACGATGTAATTATAAGATATATATTTAAAATTTTTTAATCAGTGTTAATGTATATACATCTTACACATAATTATTTAAATTTAAAATTTTAAAAAAGAATATCTTTTCTTTTAAGCATTAAGTCACTTAATAGGTAAATGATTTCGCAATGAAATTTGAACCAGCTATAAATGGAAGTGGGGCACTGCCGTAATCATATATTTATATATTAAAAATGATATTCTTATTTTCCCAATTATTTCAAATGTTTTATTAACATATATTTCAATAGAGAAAGTGTTAGGCCTGGGAAGCATCTCTCACCAAAAAGGAGAAAAAGGACCACGTGTTGATGAACAATGTGATTTAAAATTAAAATAGTAAAGACAAACTGGTAGGCCAAGAAAGTGGGTGGCCAGTGACAGTCTCCAGATGCAATGAACTTCAACACAAAAAACAAATACATGCAATTCGAAAACAAAATCAAACGTTGCTTCAAGTTTGGACGGGTGTTGTAACAATTATTAAATTGCTGGATGAAAATTGATTTATACGAGATATTAGAAAAATATTTATTTTTAAGTAAGGTGAAATAAATAATACAAAAAGAAAAGTTGATCAGTCGATATAACATCTTTAGAAAATCGATAAGAACACTTGACGTCTTCAGCAACTGTAGCAATAGATTGATTTGTCAAAAAAAAAAAAAAAGACTAATAGTTTGTTGGCGGAGATGAAGAGTTTGAAACCATCAAGTGATTTAATAGACTTCTCAAGAATATCAGATGTCACAGACCACTTCTTCCTACGTTATGGAAAAATAATTTTTTAATATCCATGTAAACCCTTTTTTTTCAACCCATTATCTTAAAATTGTTGCCGTAAAATTCCATATGTTACGGCGTATCAATCGTTTTGAAGATAAATATTAATTTTATATTTTGTATGTTTTAGGGAAGTATCTTGATCGAAGAGGGTGATTGTTTATGTGTCATAGTTCAATCATCCTTGATTGACCTAATAAGATTTATTATTATAACAGTAATATTAAAAATCAATGATAAGTATCCATTTGGATGTAAAATTAATGGCAAGCCATAATATAAAGAAGAAGAATCATTAAGAAGACGGAATTAAATACATAATAAATAGTTACAAAAATCATTTATATATGAATATTTTTCAGTTTGAAATTGTAAATGGATAACGAATATATTGGAAATTCATAGTTGAGTAATTACGTAGGTAGCAAGTTTCTTGGCCCTGGGTTTCACATTACTTTGTTTTAATCGAAGAAATTAAAATCCAAAAAGCTATAAAATCAACAGAATATTGGAATGTCACTTTTGGAAACTATTTCGTTTGGAAAACAATCACTCATCAAGCGTTTCCTTTGTCAAAAATATTAAGCATTTTACATACTTTTTAAATTGTAATCGAAGCTAAGCACGAGCGGTTTAGTCCACCTCATCAATAGCAAAAGTTTTGTCAAAAATCTTTGCCGAAAAACTCACCCACCAAAATCAGGTGTGCGACACGGGTCGG